GGCTTTCAAAGGAAATATTCAGTATATATAGATATGCTTATACAACAGGTGATAATGTCTGGTAAATGGCTCTTCATATGCACATGAAGGGCTATCGACCGACGTTTCGGGCATTTGGCTCTTCATGTGTTATTGATAAATGTGTTGAGTTTTCATCTTTATTGGTTCTTTCGGTAAAGTCACGTAGAATGAGAATAAAAGAATATATTGATAAAATAAAATAACACAATAAGATTCTCACGACGTTTCGGCCACAACACAAGCGGCCTTCATCAAGTGAAGGGGACGAGACTGTCTGGAGGACAGCGCTGGAGTTTGTTATTTGTGCTAGTGCATCACTGCAAACGCCTTATCTTTAATTATATGTCAGTTCTTACACTATCTTAAAACCAAATGACTAGTGTATAATACGTATTTCAAACTCAAACGTGCAAGCATAAAAATCATCAAATTAAAGCACCAATTTGTTGTCAATCAACTGCTGGATGGGGCCTCCCCCGCGTCGTCCGGGTCATGAGGATTATTTGACCATACTTCTCCGGACTGGTCAGCGCAATACATAGGTAAGATGTATTTAAGTATACCTTACATATAAACGCAAATGGTGTATGTAAATCAACACAGCAATATTGCTGCAGTTTCATACTGATGGAATATGAAAATACTATACGCTTATAGTTATGAAGTTTTACGAAGTTAACTTAATTTCCTCTCATCATAAAGAATTTAAAGTTTCAAGTCAATCATTCAGTATCATAATTATCGGCAGATTTGTAATGTCAACGCTTAAGTGTAATCAGGGGACAGTGCCGAATATTCTCATTTCCATTGCTGGAAATTCCACATCCCTGTCACACTAACCAATCTCCCCAATCTTTTGGGTAATTTTTAATTATTATTATAAAATATGGGTTGACTGATTTTTGTTTTTTGTGGGAAGAGGATTTCAACAAGTTGAGCGACATCACCTCCTCCGCACCGGCATTTATAATAAAATTATTGTAAACTTTTTGCAATATGGGCCCTCGCTTTTTAACAACTTAGGAGCCTGGCCCCCTCTTTGCTGCGATGTAGGGAAGGAAAAAAACCGCCATGTAAGAGAGACAAAGGCGGCCGGGCAAGGGGTTTGGCCACACCACCACCCTCTTATACTACACGATGGACGGGTCTCGTGGTGGTTTTGGGGTTCTTTGTCTGTGTCCACGTGTGCTGTGCGTCGACTCAGCCTGGTGGCGGGTGTGTAAACATCGCCACGAGGGAGACAAAGGCGGCCGGGCGTGGTGCTGGTCGCCCCACCCCCTCGTGTACCGTAGATGCTCGCTAACAGCACTTGCCCCAAGAGTCTTTTAAGGCCCCTCACAATTTCACACTGACTGGTGTTCTGGGTAATAACCTTAGCGATCACTCCATTTTTGGGGTGACATCATCAGCCAGACCCAAAGCCCCCCCTAAATTGGTTGAGAAGCACTCTATGAGACACTTTAGCACTCAGGCATTTACTAATGATGTGCTTCACTCAGATATTGACAAGGTCTGTGATATCCCCAACCTGACTACGGCTTGGGAGACCTTCAGGTACACGTTTCTCCAAATTCTTAACAAACATGCTCCTTTGGTTAGATTTAAAACTAAAGGCAACCGCCCACCATGGTTTGATCCTTTGATTACAAAGCTCATGAAAACTAGGGACAAGGCTTGGGCATGTGCTCAGAAAAGTAATTTGGTCAATGACTGGCTAGAATGCAGGATTTTAAGGAATAGATGTGTCAAAAAAATACGGCATGCAAAAAATGTATACTTTCCTCCACTCTCCTGAAATCACATGGAAATGCCAGGATTTTCTGGAAAACAATCAAATGTATTGAAAAGGCATCCAAAACAGACAATCTGCCCGCTGAGCTTAACCGAAATGGGGAATATTTTTCAGATCCCAAAAAAATTGTTGACAATTTTAACCTTCATTTTTCTGAAGCTGGTAATCTTTTTGATAATGTATTGGGAGTCACCCCTGCTCATGCAAATTCCTACACCCCTATCCAAACATTAAACGAATTTAGTTTCCAGCCAATCCACGAAAGTAATGTTCTGAAACAACTGTCCTACCTCAAAATGTCCTCCTCTACCGGAGCAGATAGTATTCCTGTCTTTACTTTACTAACTGTTGGTCACTTAATATACAAACCTATAGCCCATATTTTCAACCTGTCCATCAAAGAAGCATCAGTTCCACTAGAATGGAAACATTCCTTGCAGTCACGAAAGCTTCAAATCTAGAATTCCTATGTCCGTCCACTTCACAAAGGGGGCCCTAAAGATGATCCCAATAACTACCGACTTATCTCAATTTTGTCCCCGTTGATGAAAATTTTTGAAAAATTATTGACCTATCAAATTAGCAGTTTCCTGTCTACCAACAATCTACTACATCTAAAACAATCTTGGTTCCGAAAAAAATACAGCACCACATCTGCTGCATTAGACTCTCTTAATCACATTTACAGTAGCCTTGATAATAAGCAGTACTGTGCCTGTCTTTTTCTCGACCTGTCCAAAGCTTTTGATACAGTAGACCACAACACTTTGCTTAGTAAACTAAGTTGCCTCGGTTTTTCCGAAAACGCAGTAAAATGGTTACAAAATTACCTCTTTTCCCACACCCAAACTGTATTCACAGATGGTTGGAGGTCAGTGTTAAGATAACAAAAGGAGTTCCATATGGTTCCATCCTCGGCCCCCTTTTGTTCTCTCTTTATGTCAATAACTTGGGCACTGACCTGGATCATTCCAGGGTAAATCTTTTTGCACATGACACGATATTGATTACTGCTGGCCGCTCTCCGGATGACGTGATTGCTAAGCTACAGGGTGATTTCAACAAACTACAACATCAGCTAGTTGCTCTCAAACTAGTCCTGAATACCTCCAAAACCAAGGTGCTATGCTTCTCACCAGGACTGAAGCAGGAAGTTATTTTTCCCCAATTACATTCCTTAAATATCAAATAGAGCAAGTCAAGATCTATAAGTATATTAGGGTCATCTTTGATTCAAAACTGAATTTTGAAGATCACATTGATTATATTGGTAAAAAGACAAATAATAATTGGTTTTCTGTATCGACACAAGCACTGCTTCCCCCCAATGTTCCGTTTGGAATTGATAAAAGCTACCATACTGCCTCTACTTGACTACTGTGACATCGTGTATAAATCAGCCCCAAGTACTGTACTGAAGAAGCTTGATTCCATCTATCACTCGGCCTTAAGATTTACATTGAACTGCCCATATAGGACTCACCACTGTGATCTCTACATTGGGTCAAACTTAACATCTCTTAATGTTCGACGGCTTGTGCACCAGATCTTATTTATTCACGATGTACTTACAAAAAAATCCGCAGACTACCTGCTGGATCTCCTCTGTTTCAAAGAACAAATTTGACCTCAGGTCTTCACTCATTTACCAGCTTCACATTCCTTATTGCCGTATAAAAACTGGAGGAAGGGCCTTTGCTATTGATGCCCCCTGGGTCTGGAATGCTATTGCTAAATAAACTGCAACTTGAATCACTACCTATGAGATCTTCACTCAAAACTGCTCTAGAGGAGTTGTACACCCCTAGCTGCCACTGCTATTCAGTGGCCTAAAATAAAATAACATGTTTCGCTCCGGATGACGCTGCAAAGTATTATCTGTATTTTGATTTAGCGTGCTGATCTTAAAGGTGCATTTAAAATTTTGATACTCCGACTGATGCTTCTGTTGTTGAGTAACTTATGCAGCCAATTCGGTCACAGTCCCTGTGATCACTGTTACGTTGCAATTATGGCTTTATTTTTTGGTGATTTCGAAAACGTCTTTTGGTTTGGACATGTTTGTTTTGTTGTAGTACAGAGTTAGACTGATGGCCTTAATTTAAGTTTTCTTGTGGTTGTTGTTGTTGTTTGACTTGCATCCCACTGGGATTTTTTGCACACAGCGTTGTACGGTGCTTTTTTCAGGAATATTTTGCTGTTTTTTCATGGATTTTCTGTTTGCACAGTCACATAGTCACTTTAAGATGTTTTTCTTGTTCGTGTTTTTGTGTTTTTGTTTGTTGTGGTTGCACCCAATTCAAGAGCCGAATGGCTCACAGGGCTATATCAAAATAAATAAACTGAAAACTGAAAGGCTACACGGGGGATCTTTGTTTTTTGTTGTGTGTGTGTGTTGCTTGACGCTGTCACTGTTCGGAGGTTGACACCACGTCAGGGCCGTGGGTGGGAGTGGATTTGTTGGGTGGGGGGGGTGTTGAGCATTGAAGAGGTGGAGCATTGATGAGGTGGAGCAGTGTGGGTGGTGGTGGTGCTGATGTTGGGGGTTGAGGGAGGTCTTAGCGCGTTCCACTACGAACCCCAACCCACCCCGGGTTCGATTACCGCTCACGGCCACCGACATCAGTGGCGATTATCTCAACCGGTTCCTTGCCCAACAACCCACCCACTCCCCCACCTTCTAGGTCGACTCAGCCTCAAATGAGTACCTGTCGCGCTTTGTAGTTCAACATCGCCACACAAAGGCGGCTTTAGGGTGTGGTGCTGGTCACCTCACAACCCACCCCGCACATCCGTGTGCCGCAGGTTTGATCGCTCCTCGCGAACAGCGCGCGCCGTCTCCGCTCCATTAAAAGGAGGAACGGGGCGGACAATCGAGCGGCGCGCCGCATCTAAACGTCGCTGCTATTGCCAATGACGAAGGAGGCTAACAGCACTTTGCCCCCAACAGCTGTAGAGGCTATTACTGGGGACGGGGGAATCTTTGCATTTGCCTTTGGTGCGTGCGGGGTGGGGTGGCGATGAGCCCCGGGAATCACCCCCCCCCCAACTCCGCCACCCCCCCCCCCCTCAAGCGAAGCCCAATGGGTGAGTCAGGCGGCTCGGTGACGCCGGAGTGACGCAGTGTTGGTGGAGGGAGGGGGGAGGGGTTTAGCGGTGGTGGTGGTGGTGGAGGGGGAACTCGCCGCGAGTTTCCCCATCGGCAGCGGGCGAGGCAGCAGCGGGCAGGGGGGCAGGCAGCAGCAGCAGCGGCGGTAGCAGCAGCGGCGGCAGTAGCAGCTGCAAAGTGCCCGCAAAGCCACGTTGACTTGAGCGCGCTTGTGTGCGTGTGTGTCTCTCTCTCTCTGTGTGTGGTGGTGGCTAGGAAGGGAAGGGGAATAAGCAAGCAAGCCAGGCAGCCAGCCGCTTAACTCTTTCGCAAGGGGTTTCTCTCTCTCGCGCGTGTGTGTGTGTGTTTTGTTATTTAGTATCGGTTACGACGATTGTGTTTTGGAGGAGGTGGGGGGAGGGTCGAGGAGGAGGAGGAGGGGGGGGATTGCTCTCTCGCTCTCTCGCTCTTTCGACCACCCACACAAACCCTCCCCTGCTTCTCCTCTTTCCTGTCTCCGTACTCCTCCCAGAAGTCCTTGAAGAGAAGAAGAAGAGGGGGGAGAGACAGGCGCGGGAGAGGCATCGGCTCCGTGTTGTGGCGGGGGGGGGGGCTGGAGATAGTCTCGTGGGGGGGTTTTTTTTCCTTCTTTTTTTTAATGATTGCCTGCGAGTTCGTGCCCGCGATTAAGTCCGATGACTGGGAATTACAGCAATGACGAATTTGATTTCAGACTCATATTTGATGAAAACGGCTCGGGACCGCACGCAGGTCAGTGCCAACCCCAAACCCAAAGACAAACCCCCAGACCCTGTTAACTGTTATGTAATCCTAAACAAATTCGCTGTACCGTAGTCCGGTGCAAGTTAATTGCGTGAAAAGTTTGTTGTCCATGCTTAACAGAGTGATCCGTTTAAAAAAATCGATATTCTTCCGAATTTCGCATTGAATCCTCTCGAGTTTTTTTTTGTCCCACCAACAGGTGATGAAATCACAATGCAGTATCGATGAGAGCTATATGTTTTCATATATGGGGGGGTAAAGTGTGATTATTCTATCATTAAGAGAGCTTACACAATAATTGGGATACCTGTTGAGACTGCCTGGTAGACGTGGGGAGGATTTTTGTTGATTTAAAATGTATCTCATCTAAATTATTGTTGTGGGATATCTTTAAACGGATCACCCTGTTATATATATTTTTGTTGTTGAAATTCCTCTGTACAGTACGTAAATAGTTCATCTTAATATAGGGTCTGCACGACCACCACTAGTTACCATGTATATATAAACTGTATTAGTGTACTTGAGGACATCAGACTTAATGATTTTTTTTTATTAAAAACTCTATCCAGAAATGAAAACACTTAATTGTAAAAAAAACTGTTAAGTTCACTCCTTGTTTACAATGATGCCCCTTGCACGTGTGGTGTATGCTCGTTCATAAGTGACTTATATTAACACGCTTAACGTTTTTCAAAAGGAAAGGGCTGGTTGTTTGGTGGTCGTGGTTGTGTGTGTGTATGAGTGTGATGGGTGGTTTGCGAATCATTCAAAGCACATGTAACGGTGTGTACCCGACTTGAATTGTCTGCTCGTGTGTGTATGTGTGTGCCTTGTGTATTTATTGCCTTGGTACGTTCACGATTATCACGTCGCACGCCTAATACAGTACACTCGCATTGGAGCGAGTTACACGTTGCGCAAAAAAACCCCCAAAAAACACAAAGCATGTGTCTCAACTTACAGCTCAGACGCCTCGTCTTGCGGAAGGCAATGAGCCCTCCGCTCCGTGTTTTCATTGGACGGGATTTGTCAGCTATCACCCACCAACAACCACAACAAATTGTTGTTCATCTTGATAACTCATTAACCCAGACGGCTGCTGCTGCACGTTCATAGAACTGTGGAACTTACACAAAGATTCCCCCCCCTGTATAGCTATAACAGACTGTAGGGGCAAGTGCTGTTAGCGAGTAGCATCTAATGAAGGCCGGCACGGCACACGAGGGGGTGGGTGGCCAGCAACCACGCCCGGCCGCCTTTGTCTCCCCCAGTGGCGATGTTTACGCTCCGGGTACTCATTTGAGGTCGAGTCGACCTAAGGGAGGCCCAGGTCCGGTTCAGATAATCGTCACCGATGTTGGCCGTGAACGGGAATGGAACTCGGGTCGCCGGGTTCGTAGCGTAGCGCTAACCGCTGCGCCACCGCTCCCTGCTTCCATCCCCTCCCTGTCTTTACCACATTCATTAAACGACTGCTAAAAACCACCCTGAAACAATAGGAAGGAGTCTCTAGCTAGGAAGGTAGCAACCACAATATGGGTTATTTTATATGGCGCTCGCAGCCGCGGTGAAGAAACGACTGATAAATTACTTATTGCTGCCTGTTAATTTACCCAAAACACGTGGGGTGATGCCATTAAAACTGTGTGTGTGAGCCCCTTATCGGTCTCACGCCTTGGGAAAGTTCACACAAGCGAGGCAGACCTTACTGGTTCTGTATAAATTAGTTTTGGCTGTATTCAACCGCAAACTGTCCGGCTGAAACAAAACCTTGTGTTCTCAATGCGGTGTTTCTGTTTTTGTACCATAATGTTGTCATTCAAGCCTTGCGTATGATGGCAGAAATATGTTAAGGGAGGTAAATGCCACAAATGTCGATGGTCTACTTGTGGCCACGACGAGAGGGCTTCAGGAGAGAAGAGAGTTGGTGGAGTTTTGCTGTTCCTCTGTTGAAGGAGTGCCAACTGCTCTTATGTTGTCCACGATGGAGGGTTTTTCGGGGTTGGATCGCGTAAATATCAATGTGTCGTTAAACCCGCCACCACCCGACACAGCCATCTAGTAAGGTTTGTCACGTAAACAAAACGTGGCTAATTCGTTACGAGTACAGCACACCGGTGTGTTGGAGAGCAAATACGCACAAACCTTACCCATCGGCTGTGTCGGGTGGTGGCGGGCTTAACGACACATCTTACACGATCTAATCAAATCAAACCTCTTATGGATGATAATGGTTGGTCGCGTGTTAAAGCTAATGTATATCGGTTTACTTTCTTGTCCGCGGTTTTGGTTTGCACGTGCAACGCAATTCCACGCTTACGTCCTCTCGCCGTTCTTTCTCCTCGATGGAATGTCAAAAGTTGGGGGGGGAGGAAGTAGGTGCGATGATTGTTTGGCCCCTCGAATGTGGCGTTTGTTCTGGAAAGTTTTATTTGAATGAAAAAAAAGTGCCATTTATTAACCAGCGGAAGAGCCCGTTGAGAAATGAATTGGTTGTCCCGCATTGGAAGGTTTTGTTTTAATGCATAATCCGAGTTACGTTGGACTTGGGTATGTCGGCGGATATGAGAAAATGTCTCGTTTGAGAACATCAATAGAACATTGACATTTACACCAGACACAAATACACTGGACTGTGTTTATGGGTGGTTAATTTGCCCTGGGCGGATATGTGACTGTTGGAAATCCGAAGTTGTTACTGTACAGTAACACAACAAATTTCAGTGTGTAAACAACTCAAAAAGGCGCCATTTGAAACGTAGAAACGGATGCAAAAAAAAACCCCGTACGTATAAGACATTTCAACTACTGTATCGCGGGAGTGTTAAGTCCTTAAAGCCCTCGTGTATATGTACAGTGGTGTACAGAGTCGTGCCATTTGGTCACGGTCTCTAAAGCGACTGCAATAACAAAAGTCGAGTACCGTAAAGTACAGTGAAACAAAGTGATCTGGGCGAAAGTTACGGGCACCCATAACCATGCGGATGGTCAAACAGTGTTGAGAACCTCACATCATCATCACCACAGCCGCACACATTAAAAATTAACCATGGGGACTGCATATGCGATGCTGTAATCGTGCGGCCACGTCAGTGCACTTATTCATTCGCCTTTAAGTGCAATGCACGCACGGGGCACTTAAGAAGTCGGTTGGATCAATGTAACTTGCTCGACACAGTACATTAAGAGTGGGGGAGGCAGGGATTGGGATCAGCCCACACAGCTTGCTCGTACGACTTTATCTCAAAACACTTATGGGTTTTTAAAATATACACATGCTGTGCACGCCAAGTATTTCACTTGTTTTCTTTTATGAAGGGCGATTAAATATAAATTCAGTAAAGCGTGTGCACATTTATGAAGTGTAGAACGTGTCGGTGTTGGGATTGCCTTCATCCAGCAGCGGATAAGAAATTGTACTATAAATACAACTTATGATAAAATTCTGCAGCAAATGAATAAAAATGTTCATGTGCTGTGATAATACCATGGGATAACAACACGTTTTCTCAACACGTATTTATAGTACTGTAGTTGTACAGTGCTAACAAATATCATTGACATTACTTGTACAATATTTAGTGCGTTGCAAATACTTTTTTTTAAAGTAACCTATAACAGGGTTGTGGCTTGGAAACATTCGATAAGCTTGTTTTAATAAAGATCATCTGCCGCCCCAACAATTTTTAGTAAACGTTTTATGCAGTTATTGTGGGAGCTTAAGTTGCGTTTTATTGAAGCATTATCACCTGTTGAGAGTAGGTCCGTTAATTTGCGGATAGACCAATTAATAGCAATAATTATTAATAGCAATAATAATTATTGGATCAATAATATTATTGCTATTAATTGGTCTATCCCCAATCACTGACCCCAATATCAGTGAGTTGTTGTGGTATAACAGAACCATATTGTAATTGTTTTTTTTATGTTGTTGCCAAATGCAGGGCTGTCTTTTGGATGTGCTCAGATTCCACTGGTGTTTAAATGAAGTTCATACTTTGACAAGCGGGTTCTCGAACAATGCACGTTAACGATGTGTAACAGCACATGTTCAGAAATTGTGACCAACGAGAACCTGCGATTACGTTTGTGGCTAAGCTCGAGTATAGGATGATGCTTGATCTCAGCAGCAGAGGCTTCTTACCATAGGGATGTGGAATTGCCTTGATATATACACGCGTGATGTTTGTATACAACAAAAAACAATGTAGGTCCACGTACTATCGTCGTGTAAACTTAAAAAAAAGTTGCATTGGATGATGTTAGATCGCAGACATAAAGGCATACACTGAAATGGAGACAATTTTAAACCGTTTCAGATTTTGTTGATGACATAGTATTTAACCAATGGAAACGATCTATGGTAAATGTATGAATGACGTATAAAAAACAACCTGCTAATTATAAATATGAGTAAAATTAAAAGTCACGTATATGAAGTATGCTAAACAATTGAATATCTGTTGTAGGGGCACAATTGTAAAACAAATCAAGAGTACGTACTGTATAGGGCAGGCAGTTTTTTTGATGGTGAACCTGGAAAAAGAATGGTTAAATAGAGGCGAATGAGATCAGGTTGTTGGAGTGCTGTTTGGAAAATAACAATGGAAAGCAACACACCAGTATTCCAAAAAAAGGAACACATCATTACCTGCTATGTCATACGATTCCGAAAAAAACCCTGAAAAGTGTTGCAAATACTGAGCCAGATAGAGGAACACGTGGGCCTGAGAACTTATGCAATTCAAAGAAATCATACATTTGAGAAAAATCTGTTGGGTGTCTCTCCAGAATGGATGATGGCCGGTGGTCATAACTAACGATGGAGTGGCACCCAAGGAATGGCGCATGCTTGGGTAGGTCTTCATCCATCGGTAGATAGATCATGGTTGATAGTAATTATTAGTAACATTTACCCCTGAGTAGACCTCACAAACTAATTTTTATTTTTAAAGATGTCCAGCTCCCAATGTATCCCCAAT